TTTCGCTTAGAGATCAAAACACATTCATTTGGAAAGAAAAAGACTCTAAATGAATTCGACTGATAAAAAATATAAGAAAAAATTCTAAAATTCCCAGCACCTTCCTGTTGTGCTCATGTGTAGTCCTACCAGCATAACAAATTTAGTCCGATGAAGTCCTGAAGGATGAAACATGTCACAAGTAAGCTTTTTCCACTTTGTCATACAATATCCCATATATATATATATATATATATATATATATATATATATATATATATATATAAAATAAAAAACTAGTGTTTAAGCCTTTTTATTATATCCTTACTCTGTCCTGGACATTGAGTTCTACATGGATTCTATCCTCCTGCAATTTTTTTACACACACACATATATATATATATATATGCATGTGTATGTACGTTTGTATATATATTTGTGCGTTTTAGATATATGTACATATATGTATGTGTATATTAACCACTAATATTATCTATATATATATATATATATATATATATAGAGAGAGAGAGAGAGAGCATAAACAGCAATAAACAATGAAAAACAATCATTAGGATTAATCAACAGAGTGAAATAAAATATTTAAAATGGTTGATTATATGAAAATATTGAAATCTATCTCTCTATCTATCTATATATATATATATATATATATATATATATATATATATATATATATATATCATTAGATAGATAGCAATTATCTAGAAATAAAAGTATAACAATTTCAGTTCTCTTTCAATATTTTTCCGCATGTGTAAGTAATGGAAAGAAAAATGAATCCCTGAAAACATATATATATATATATATATATATATACTGCATGTATACCAGACTATATCTGTCAGTGGTATCTATCATATTATGTTTTCCAATGAATATGTGTTAATGTATGACTGTGTGTGCACGTGCCATTTTCTGTCTGCAGTTGCATGTTTGTGTATATCATTCAGTGTTTATCTGCCAGGTTCTATCTGTTAGTGCATATAGTGCTATAATGAAGACTTACCAGCAAAATGCTTGTATTTAAAATGATATTTTATGAAAAGATTTCAAGTTTTAGCAATTCAGATGTAGAACCTCTCAGATTTGATTAAGCACCCATATATTTACTTATAAGCAAAATAGCCCCCCATTATAGCATTATGCGCAGCGACTTAGAATTCCAGTAGATTGGCCAGGAGCTTTGTCCTCATTACAAGTCTGAAGACTTTGGTCTCTTTTTAACCTGTTTACTCAAAGCAAGGCAATAAAGACATGAGGAGTCACTGGTTGTGAAGGAAACTGTAAATGTTACTAAGAAGAAATGATAATAAAAAGAACAGGATTCAAAGAGACAGCTGATGTTGCATTTAGATTTTTGAGGAGTGCAAAAGAATAAACCATACGAATATAAATTGTCATTTTAACAGTGAAACAGTGAAATTATGAGACCTAACAGCCAATCTATTGCTATACTTAAATTTATGAACTTGACACACCAAAGAGAAGAACTCATCAGAACAATTGCCCTGAACATATTTATAGAAAAAAAGCACAGCTTGTGTCAGGCTATGATTAAATGGGCATGTATGTATGTTTGTGCATATATATATATATATATATATATATATATATATATATATATATATATATATATATAAATATATATATATATATAGGAGGGTATGATGGAGTAATGGATAGCCACTCAGATTGAGGATTCAGAGAGCTGAGTTTGAATTTCAGTCAAATCTATTACATTCACTTACATGCAAATACCTTTAGGAAAAGTATGAATCTTCTTCATCTCCCCCCAGCTATGGTTAAATAGCAAGGAAGACTGGGTTCTATAGCCTTGGGTGGCAAATGGTCTAGGATAAGGACAACTCTGAAATCAAAACCTGATCCTCCAGGTTGGGGGTTGTGCAGTAGGATAACAACTTACTTATTTAAAAACTAGCTTGTTATCGAAAACGCAACTATATCTTGTAGCCCCATGTTCCTCAAGGAATTTAAAGGTATGATATATATATTGTGTATTTGGGCAGAAATCTCTCTTTTACACAATTTTTATTACTGACACGATACTGTGATTAAGCTTTTTATTCAATTTTTCTTGTGTTTGTATAAGTGTTTCCTTCTCTGCACATAAAGTGAGTAAAATTTCTTCAAATGTTCTGTATGTCTGAGCACTTTTGGTTATTCTTTTAGCCATTATCAAGGTTAGTTTTTCATTTTTATTTTGAACTACATTTTTATGTATGCATCTAGAGTTAAAAAAAAATGTTTTGCTTTTTTCCCGAAACATGGTAAGCCCATTGTGAGCTTATTCATATTTGACATTATTGAGTGTTGGCTCTTTCTTTTTATATTATCAATGCAAATAATGGTGGCAACACCATGTATGTATAAAAAGTAAGAATTTTATTTTAAAATGTTGCAGTTGGTGACTTTAAGCATAGAAAATCAAGAGAAAAATTTGCCCTACCAATATATGATTTTGAAAATTTGAAGATTATAATGGAAAGGGATCTCAATGAGAGAACTTAGAGGAAGCACATATCAATGTAGATATTTGGTAGTCTTGAAGAGAAATTTGCAAGGAAAAAGTTTTGATTCATTATTTTTTTTTTATATTTGTTGCATAAAAGTCATTTTGTATAATAACCAAAAATGATCTGTGCAGTAACTGGAAATGGATGAGAAGTCAAAACATCAACCAAAAGTTATCTCCCCTTCAAGGTTGTGATAAGTGACTGGAGGAAATATCCTAACTTCTTCCAAAATGTTCACACACCTAATGAAATAATAATAGTATGATCAGTCTCGTAAGGTCAAATTGGCAGCTGATATCAAAAGTGAAATAAAATCCATTATAAACTGTGGCAAGGAATGGCTTGTTAATTTTAATGCCTCCAAAACGAAACTGCTTTCTATTATTCATCTGAAAAAAAAAATTTGCCTTCGATCAGCATGGCTGATGCTAACCTCCATGAAAGTAACTTGTTGTGTCTTTTCTGGCAAACATTTTTAGCTGACACGAAGTGGAAAGATTATATTGAATCAGTTGCTAGGAAAGTTTGTTCTCTGTATTGTGATAGACAATTTTTCTCACTAGAAGCTATCTTACATTTTTATAAGTTTACCATTGATTCATACTTAGAATATTACTGCCACATCTGATCTGGTGCGCTTGCTATATGTTTAGAGATTCTTGATAAAATCCAAAGAAGGATCTGCAATCTTATTCATCCTGACCTGGCATCATGGGTTCAGTCACTTTCCTACTGCCATAATGTAGCTTCCCTGTGCCTTTTATATAAATACTTTCATGATAATTGTTCTCATGAACTTTGCTCTATGGTACCTTGACTTAATGTATTCAAGTGCAGTACTAGATTGGTGGCAAGTTTTTTACAGTTGAATTGGTTAGATGTAACTGTAAGTTATTTACTAACATTTTCTTTTCTTGCACTTATTGCCTGTGGAAATTTTGTCCAGCTTCTTTGTTTCTAACCAACATTAATCTTCAAAAATTTAAATGCAATGTGTCTTCTTGATTCTTCCTCTTTTATTGTTCTCATTCCTTAACAATGTTTTTTTCCCTTATTGTTTCACACTCAGGAACTTCCAGCATCTTAGTGACTTTATTGCCTTGGTTGGGGTGAAATGGTTGAAAAAAAATGTAAACCATATTTAAATTGCACATTAAAAATTACTACTGACGAAGTGAATAGAAAGGTTGTCCTATTACAGCATAATAATGACAGACCTCATGTTGCAAAAATGAGGTTACTAAGTTGAATGTGTGCAAGGTGGAAATTTTATTGTATTCCGGCCTCTTCACACAACCTTACTCCATCAGATGACTATTTTTTTCAAGCATTAGTATTTTGCAATGAAGAACTTGTTCAATCAGGATCAAACTGAAAAAAAAACTTCAATGAATTCATCTGTTCTTTGAATAAAGAATTCTTTAGGAAATAAACTGATGACTTCCTGTCAAGGTGAAATAAATATATAAAGGCCAAAGAGGATTATTTTGATTGAATAAATATTTTTTTCTTAAGTTTCCAGTTTTTTTTGCTTTAATTAATCAGTAATTTTTTGTTGAACAACATTACTTTCTCTCTTTTACACAAACACACACAATTCTGATGTGTATATCTGAAAGGTCATGTATTTTCATATGTATGTATATATAAATGTAAATATGTGTGTGTGTGTATATACACACACGCACAAACATATATATATTTAATAATATTTTACAAACACGAACATGTCAATATATGCTCTAAATATAGGTCAGATAAATACATATGTATGTATAAAGGTGTATTTGGGCTTGTCTATGTGTTTGTGTATGTTATGTATATCCATTAATTTTATATAGTAAATATTTCTGTGTCAACTTCAATATTCCCCCACCAACATATTTATGCCTATACATGTATGAACATATATATATATATATATATATATATATATATATATATATATATATATATACACATACACTTGTATATGTATATATCCATATATATTTGCATATATATATATATATTTGCATATATATATATATATATACATACATATGTATATATCCATATATTTTTGCATATATATATATATATATACATACATATATATATATCCATATATATTTGCATATATATATATATATATATATATATATATATATATATATATACGCACACACACACATACATATATATGTATGTGTGCATATGTTCATACATGTATGAGTATGATGATGTTGGCTGTTTGTCTGAGTGCAAGATGATGTGTGAGTATTAATTGCAATATAGATTTTTATAATCAATGAAAGTTTGTGGGAGGAGTAAAAAGATAGAGAAGTGAGAAAGAAGATGAGGGGGATGGGACATTATGGTAGAGAAGGCAAGGTGCTGTTGTTATGGCAGGAACTTTCCTCTGTTCCACCTCGACAACCATCTACCACCACTTACCTGACCCAATCACCGTTACCACAGTTCTTACAGGGAGTGCACAGACACGTCCATCCCTTTACGTGCAGAGGAAGGGGAAGAAGAAAAACAGAGAGAATTTTGAAAGACTAACACTGGGAGGGAGGGGAAAAGCAGAGGAAACAAACGTGGGACGAACAGTCGGGTGAGGAGTGGAGGAAGAATTGGGCTAAAGGAGAAAACGAGGGAGAGAATGTGCTGGGTTTGGAAAGAAACCAGGAAAAAGAAAAATTGAAAGAAAAAACATCAATACTAAAATTGAATGAAAGAGGAAGAATGGTAATGAATGAAAGTAAATAAGAAAGAGAAATGGAGATAAGAATGAGATTAAGAAAGAAAACAAAGTAGGACGAATATCAAAATGCATAAATATGGAAAGAATGAAATATTGAAAATGAAAATACTAATGTGAAGAAGTACTGTGAGAAAGACTAATAAAAGAAAGAAAAGAAGTCAATGAATGAAAGAACCTTGGGTGGAGATACAAAGAAAAAAGAATAAAACAACAATGCAGTTATGATGAAATTGTTTTCAGAAAGTGAAAGTGAAAGGACTGAAGGGCTGAAATTTACAGAAACTTCTAGACAGAAAGTGAAGTCATAGGTGGTTATTTGTCTTATAGACTAAGAAAATAACTGAGAGGAATAAAGACAAAATAAAAGAAAAGGCCAAATATGGAAGAGAAGAAAAGTTAATTTATGAGTGAAGAATCAAAAAGAAGAAAAATAAACATTATTTGGAAAGTAGAAAAGTGAAGCTGAAAATGTAAGAAAAAGAGACACAATCAAAAATACAAGAAAAATACAAAAAAAAAAAGGAAAGTCAAGGCAGAGAAAGGAAGTGAGAAAAGAAGAAAGATATATCTAGTAAAGGAGAAGGTATAAAAGGAACAGTATGATGGAGAAGAAAAATGAAAGAGACAGACTTAGGTAGAGATGAGAAATAAAAGAAATGATAAGAAGGAAAGAAAAAAAAGAAGGAAGAGAGAAAAGTAAGAAATGGTTAATTAAAGATTAAAAAGAAAGTGTAAATAGCAAAATAAAGAAAAAGGTATGAATTTGGATAAAGTAAAGAAAAACAGGAGAGGAGAAAAGAAAGAGAATAAGTTAAGGGTATGTGTCTGAAACAGAATGAAATTGATGTGAAAAAGAAAAAAATAATAGAAAATAAATGAGATTTTCATAGAAGGGAAAAGAAAGTCAAAGTGAAAATTAGGAAAGTCAAAACAAAAAAAAAAAATGAGTTAAGCAATATACAAAAAGTTTATTAGTGAGATGGGGGACCCAGTTTGAAAGAATGAAAAGAAGATAAAAAGAGAAAGAATTAAAGAGAGAAAGAGGAATGAAAAGAAAATAAGTAAAGTAATGAAAAAGCAAAGTAGAAGAAGAAACTGAAAGGAAAAACAAAAGAAATACAAAAACAAAGAAAGAAAAAAAAAGAAAATATACAAGAGAAGAAATATCTGCTGTTGCTACCACTGCAGCTGCCAGCCGAACACCGCTGATGGCCGCATACCGATGCAGTCTGGGCCCCTGGATGGTAGCAAGGCGGGAAGGAGTCTATCAAGAGGGGCTGGTGAAGTGAGGAGGGTTCAGGGAGAAAATCGAGAAGGTGAAGGAGGAGAAAGGGGATGTGAACGTGATGGGGATAGTGGTTCAAGCTGGCTGGTGTAGTAGGGGTTGGGGTAGCTTGATGGAAAGTTGTGAGGAGCTGGTAAGGGTTGGTTTTTATAACAGACCAGACCAGACCAGACTGGACGAGACTGTGTGTACCTCAATGTGACCTTCACACTATCCAGCCGCATTATAAAAAGTAAAATACTATAATCACTGGATGACCACTGCACATACACATACATGTACAAATACACATGCATCAACAGTTACTAGGTAATTATTTATATATATATATATATATATATATATATATATATATATATATATATATATGTATTCATGTGTTTATGAATAGAGATGCAAACACCTAAATATAGTTGTTTGATGTAAACATAGTATATATGTTGTGGATATAAATCCATAAACACATGTATGTAGGATGGAGATGCCTGCCTTGAAAATCAACATTAGAAATTCTAGCATATAACTTGGGTTGAAAACTAGGCTGCCAGTAGGCTACATACAACTAACTTATAGTGCATATATACATCTATTTATCTCTCTCGCTCTCTCTCCATCTATCTATCTATCTATCTATCTATCTATCTATCTATCTATATATATATATATATATATATATATATATTTACATTATATGGCGCAAAATTTTAGAAAGTACTTACATGAAAAACTACTTTCTGCGGCCTTCCTTGTTAGTCCCCTTGAGTGTGTATTCAACAATGCCACAAAAGTAATGCTGACAAAGAGTGGTGGCAGAAGTTAGTACAACATTCTGTTACACACATACTATTGAGTACCATTGTGTTTATACATACATATATATGTGTGGTGTGTGTGTGTGTGTGAGTCTCTTGTGCCTGAGCAGTTTAATGTATGATTGCCTAAAGGTAGCTTTTCCAGGATATGTTGAATGAAGGTTCCTTACTGTGAAGTATATTTTCTTTAATAAAAATTTTGATTACCCAGGCTGGTACAATTCAGTTAAAAAAAAAAACGGATCTCTATCCAAATACATGTATCCATTAAAGATAACATTTACAGCACCTCTCTTTCTTTCTTTTCTCTTCTCTCTCTCTCTCTCTCTCTCTCTCTCTCTCTCTCTATATATATATATATATATATATATATATATATATATATATATATATAATATGTTTATCTATTTAGGCACTCAGCAATGTGCTATATATCATAAAGGTAGTCTGGTTGACCATTACTACTGAGTAGTCAGTTCAATCCTCACTGAGGGTCTCATTCAAAATTTGGCATTAAATAAGCCAGCAAGAGCTTACATTTTATAAAATAAATCAACCTAACCTATATTATCTGCATCATATCTAATAAATTTATATATATATATGCATATGTACATAAAAAAAATTAAATATATGTTTGCACACATAAATAATGTGCATATTTACACACACACACACACACACACACACACATATATATATATATATATATATATATTCTATTACTGCAGAAAGAATTCATTAAAATTGAAATTCAACAGACATGGTCTCTTTGTTTAATTTTGTATTGTATTTTATAATGTTTGAAAAAGTTGTTATACACCCATATATATATATATATATATATATATATATATATATATATATATATATATATATATATATATATATATATGTGTGTCTGTGTTTGCCAGATGGAGACTATGGGAAAGAGGAACTAGGATTTTATAAACACTTTAAACTGCAATGTTGGGAAGGCAAAAAAATCACTGAAGCCTTTCTTTCGACTACTCTCAGGTTAGAAGAATATGCCAAGATAGAGAAATTAATCATATTTCAATTACAGGCAGTCAATATCATCATGAACATCATCACAATGATCATAGGCTATTAAGAACAATAGCAACCCTTCCACCATCACCATAACGATCATCATCATCATTATAATCTTTTTAGAATATTACTACTATCATCAGCATCATAATCAATACTATTATCGTCACTTAAGAGCATCATCATCATTACCCACACTAAGTGAGCAAAAGATTTGCAGTCCCAAGCCTCCAGGCTTTGTTGGCTGTATTTTGAATCAGCTGAAGCCAAATTTTGATTTATTAAGACAAGCACACCCTGATGACAGATTTGTTGTTAAGCAGCAGTGACAGCACACAGCAGCAGCATTATTTTCAAATCATTTAATTTTTTCATAACCAACAATGGTAGAAATTATTATCTTTCCAAATATGGATGCCATGTTTATTACTTTAGCCATAACAATATGATGTTTATCAGAATAAATCACAATTAACTTCCTTTAATTTTACAAATAGCTGTAGGGTTCAATTTTCATAGACAAAGTTCATTTTTTTTCTGAGAGTTCAACTAATAAAAAGCTTTAATATCAAATGTAGAATTAAATAATTTGTCAAAGCTACTGAGAAAAAAAAGTGCTTAACTCAGTCGCTTTTAAAAATCTCTTTGATTTGAGCCAATTTCTTTTTCAAACTTTAATACTACATCTGTTATGTCTATTCTGGATGTGGGCAATAAGTGACTTTCCACAAGTAATGTCTGTCATTGCCTAAAACAATACATTTTCTCAATTATGTATCTATATTTAATCAACAGAAACTTGGAAATTAAATTGGTTTGTGAATGAATATTTTAAATATTTTTGCAGTAGATATTTCATTATCATTGCAGCATGGTGAAGTGATGGCTTGAAGATTAGATTTAAGAATTGGAGAGCCAAGTTCAAATTGCAATCAAGTTCATTACATTCTCTTATGTACAAACACCTTTAGGAAAGGTGTGAATCCATCTCTTCTTCAAACAGCTATGGGTAAATAGCAGGACAGACTGGATTCTATAGCCTTGGCTGGCAACTGGTCTAGGAAAAGGACAACTATGAATTCAAAACCTCCAACTATGGACTTAATAGCCCTACCAACCTGCAATTGGCCAAGCATGGTGAGTACAGCTACACCTCTGAAGACATAGTCACCCAGAGAGCAGTATCCTCTAAAGAGTGAGATCACCCTGAATTGGGATCTGAATTTGTTCCACTGAGCTTTCATCCTTGGTACAGTTTTTTTTAATTTCATTGTCATATTAGTATGTGTCTATTCTTTTGTGTTTCTTATTATGAATCATTCGCAAAATACAAGCATCAAGAGCCATTCAAGGTAGTGTTACAGAATGAAGTTGTAGAAATGTAAGAAGACAAGGTAAGAACTAGAGATTATGAGGATATTTAGGATAGTTAACAGTTGACCTTGACTTGAAGAGCTTCATTAACAAGTAAGCATAATCAAAATGAACAGTATACAAGTGGACATTGAGGTCAATACCCAGTGGTGAGAATCTATCTCTTACTTAAATCCAATCTTCATGGCTTGAAGATTGAATTTAAACATGAAACAAGCTGTGGCTGCTGGGTGTTGATCTTAATGTCTACTTTTATATTTACATACAATCTATCCCTGATACTGAGCACTTTAATCCATAAATATAGCATACCTTAAAACTATATTTTATCACATATATGGTAGACTCTCCTATCGTAAATGATAAATGAGGATCAGCATTGGAGGATGCCTTTTGTTTTACATTTACAAGGTCTATTGTGGAGAAAATCAGGTAAGGGAAAGACATATTTCATTTGTGCTTTCTTAAGCTGATCATAGTGCTTCAGTCTACTGTCTTCAAAACCCTTCAACTGAATGAAACATGTCTTACGCCAATCCTTTCGGTTTGATTCTTATATATATATATATATATATATATATATATGTATATGATATAGATATGGTTTTAAGATATGCTATATTAATGGGCTAAAGTGCTCAATATTCAAGGATAGACTGTATGTAAATATAAAAGTGGACATTAAGTTCAACAACAAGCAGCTATGGTTTGTTTTGTGAAGATTGGATTTTAGCAAGAGATAGTCTGTCTCCTCCGGGTCTTGACTTCAATGTCCACTTATATACTGTTTATATATACTGTTTGATCATGCTTTCACTCAAACTGGCTTCTTGTATTATCATATTCATATCATTAGATATCAACTGATATTTTGACAAACAATATTGTTTCCTAAAGCACCAACACCTTCCTTATTAACTTTATATCTACTAAGATAAGATTATTATAGTTATATTATTATTATCATATTATTATAACTATAATACAATATTATTATACTTGTATAAGTTTATTTGTCAATATAATTTTCATTTTCTGAAAAACAAATGTCCTTTGCCTCTTCTTCCTTCTTCCCCTCCCAATGAATTAAGTACTTAATATTGCCACCATTATCATATTACGGATTATTGGCTTATCTAAGGATCTGGAAAATATTATCATTATAATCTGTTCTATTACCAATATCAAATATCAAAATATATGAGATCTTTATCTTGCAAAATGTTGAAACACTAAAATTGACATCATGTTAAGTCTTACAGCATTTGACATCATTGTCAGGATGTTGACTCTGAAAGCGTTTGACATTATCACTATCATGTTATTATCATTATCACTATTATATCATTATCACTATCATATGTCAAATGATCATTTAAAATCTCAAAGAATATGACACATTATCATGTCAAATATCAAAGCATTTAACTTTATCATGTGAAATAACACACCATTTGACAGCATCATGTCAAATCTCAAGGCTGATTACATAATCATTATTATAATGACAAATCTTAAAACATTCAACATCCTCATCATCCTAATATAATTTTATATAATTCTTGTATAAAGCGTTTCTTTCATTATTTGCTGTTGTTGCGGCAATGCCTCTAGTTGGACTATAAGTATTGGCAAACTAAATTTACACTTGTAAAGAAAATGGAATAATTTTCTACAAGGTGATATTTTATTTTTGTTTTTATATAACTGAGTAACAAAGAAGAAAAAATGTAGTATCACTTATATGGGTGGTATACGTGTCTATGTGTGTGTGTGTGTGAGTGAATTTTCAGTCATTCAGAGGAAATATATCCCCATACACCAGAACAAGATCCCAGTGGTGTTACTCCTACAATTTAACAGAAGGAAAAAAGAGAAAAAAAGGGTGAAG